GATGATTTTATGGATTTAATTTTATGTATTATACTTGAATAAATACGGTAACTGGCATATGTTCTTTCGAATTTGGCTCTGCCAAAGTGAAACAGGAAGTGACATCAAAGGGGAAATCGGAGGAAGTCGCTGATCTTTGTTTATTAATCTCTCTGTGATGGTGACTTAAAATGATCTATAGAAACACTAGATTTTTCTCTATGTTAGCTGTTGTAGCAATGCTTGTTTACATGCAGACATTRACATCACTTCCTGTTMCTTCACATGCAAATATCTCAACAACTGTTCATCTCAGTGGCATGAATTTTTTTATGCAATATRTTATGAATATTAACAGTTCAAAAATGCATTCAYGTTTRTTACGAAAATTTGATGTCACAGGCACTTTAAAGATCAAGGGAAATTCTGAAGTACTAACATAATGGAAACTCAAAATTCTTCAATTGTTTGTTAGTAACATTGTCAAACCATATAACTTATTGTAAAAAAGCATACAAAGCACCAATGCTTAACTTGTATAATTTAAATGACATTATCTTAATGAGAACTAACGTGTTTGCAGATACAGTTGTACTACATCCATATTTAAGAGGTAAATTTGATTTTACTCTGACTGCCCAGCTAATATTTTACATTTTATTATATTAGACACTCTGTAGTTGTAAAGTCCCACTTAAATGGTAGGAAAGATATAATTTCCTACAAAGCGGTGTAGTTGAGACCACCTACTCGCTGAGCTTTAAGGACATGGCTGTGGTTTTCAGACGGATCTCCACACCCCTCACTAAAAAGAACTCATGTTTGCCAGGCTTCCAACCACATCAATGCCTGGCTAATGTCTCAGTGTTGGAGAACTCTAAAACAAACAAAGCTCCTTTGAGACCACAGCAATTCCCTTCATCCTTCTTAGCAATTATTGCTGATGAAGCTTCTAAATGACATAAATCAGAGACAGAATTAAAGTGTATAATTCCGGATGATCAGCAACTCGTGTTTCTTTGTTTTACTACATCCTCTCCCGTCTCTCAGTCCTGAAGATTCAACAAGTACCTGAAAGCACACATGGCTCCCATTGTCYTGAGAAGAACAACTCCAGCTGCGCAGGATATGAAGCAGAGATATAATCTAATGAGGCTTTTATACAACAAGCTTTACGGAGCATCTGACTCACATGAGAACRGAGAAGGAAGGTTACAAACACTGGTGCTTTTGCTCAGCGTGGAGAATGGAAAATAGGAAACAAAAAACCTTGTGTCATCAGATATCAGTTAAAATCAGCATAATAAATAGAATCAGGGCTTCTGGAATAAGATGRTTCTGATTCTGAATGCTGTTTAAACTTCACTGTGCTGTTTTTAGTGAGTTAGTCAGAACACATCCTTTTGGTTTTCAATCCCACACTCTGGATGTCTCAGTAAAAGTGATCGTTCAGGACAGCTGTATTTACTGGTTTTAGTGAACCAAAGTCCAGGACGCTCTGTGAGAAACATTCAAACCCAGTGGGATGTTTTCTTACCTTTGCTGTTCTCTGCCTGGCTCTCGCTGACATTTGCGACTGGAGAAGACTTGGCCTCTTTCTGTAAAAGTTGATCATTTCAGTCACTTGCAGGACGGACATTACTAGGCTTTGTGTTCTGTTTTAAAAAGGCGAGCGCTCACATACCTTGTCACCTCCATCAGTCTTGCGTGTCCTCTTCATGATCTCCTCCAAACGCTGACAAAGACAATAAAATGCCAATGATAAATTTTATTGCAGATTTTATTTGTGCAGTGATGTTGGACAGCTACATTTAAGGGGATTAGAGCAGCTGTGCTTCCAATAGTAGGAAATATAGCTTTCAGTTTTATCTGTACGGATCTGATGTCAAAGTTTTAGCAATCCATAAATAGTTTTGTTGAACTTTGCTAACAGGATTAGTGAGCCAGACTGAGTCTCAGACTGGCTGTAAATTGCTGTATCACATTTCATAAAAATGGTTATCTCTTTTTGTAATTTTAGCTTAAAATCCTTATTTTTAGAGAGAATTTGTGGTTTCTGTCCTTAAAACTGTGTTTTTACTTAAATCTGATGGATGAATAGTGAACAGCAGGACAGAGGAAAGAAGTCATGCTTTTCTAAAGTATAAACCGCTCTGCCCGACTCATTTGTGTGCAATGAAGTTTGACACAAGATCCGGCCTTCATTTGAGCACTCRGCTAGACCAGAACTGCAGCTGCCACTCATAAAAGAGAGGCATTTTTAAGATCCAAGATTATTTCGTGCACAGCTCGAACACTCATGACTTTGGCCTCTACTTCAGCTGCGAAACGTGCTTCCACTTTGAGGGTTTTTGTTTGTCCGATGGGTTGCTGTGTCGTTCCTCTGGGTACTTCAAACCACCTGTGTGCTTTATTGAGTCTGTTTGCTCGGGGTGTCGAAGCAGTGAATCTTTGTGGTACAGAACATAGCGTTCTTGCAGAATCATTCCTGTGTCTCTGCTGGCTGGGCCAAACCTTTCCCACATGGGTGAGAAGACGAGGAGAGGGAAAAACAGAGGCTGTGGTGGCCTACAAACATCTGAGCCAACTGCAGTGATGTAATTATTCATCTCACACACAGAAAAAATGCGTTTGACAGAATATTTCTGCAAATGAAATATTTTATTCTGTAAAATCATTAGCAGGAACACCTAAAAGTCTTGATGCACAAATCAAACTGGGAGGTGTGTTCAGCTAMTATAAAAACTATAAAGTGCATAATTTAATTGTATTATAATGATTATATATGCAGCCAGAAATTTGTCAACTGAAGTGACTGATTAATTGAAAGGTATGCATTGCAAAGTTAAAGACTGGACTAAATAAATTCATAAACTGCACCGTATTTTTCCTTACATCGATGACGAATGTGTTCTTTTAATTAAAAATTAATCAGAAACATTTGAGCCYGAATGCTTMAAGGGAACCCTGACTAGTTGTAGCATTAGACTTTATTTGAAAAACATTTACTTCAAGTATAAAACAAAGACTGTAAAATAATGTAGGCTTATTTTTTTATATAAATTAAAAAATCATTTTATTAATGCCATAAAGCATACTGGGTAAATGATGTTGTTCACTTGTTCTGGTGTGAGACTGCGAGTGTCTTCTATCCACCCTGAAGATTAATCTTGGACAATATCTGACGATCAGCCCTTTTAAATGACACCTGGGTAAATGTAGAAATTATTCATCCTGTAACTGAATATATGGATAATGCAAACCAGAGCTGCTTTAAGGAAAGAGAACCTCAGCSTAGCCTGTTAGCTTTCACGTTAGCGCCCAAGCTAGTACATATGGTGATATAGCATTAGCTCGGGAACTAATGCCATATATACAAATAATATGTGGCATTCGTTTATATGTTGTTAACGCTATTTTAGAATATATATATATATATATATATATATATATATATATGTATTAGAGGAAATATGTATTAGCTCGGGTGCTAATGCTAAAGCTAACAGGCTAAGCTTATGTTAGTCTTCCATAAAACAGATCTGCTGTCCTTCGTTCGTATTTTCAGATGCAGGCAGAGTCATTGGGCTTATCGTCAGCAAGTATCCAAGATTAACCTTTAGGGTGGCTACAGCTCCCTCGCAGTGGAACAGAGAGGGGGAAAAAAGCCTTGCACCTGCAGAGAACCTATATATATATAGAGTAAAAACTCAGCTTACAGTATTTCTACAGTCTTTGTTTTAAATTTGAAATAAATCTTTATTAAATAATGTCTAATGTTACAGCTAGTCAGGGTTCCCTTTTGTTTAAAAATCTTTACAAATCCGTACAGATGAGACTGGAGCAGCTAGCTTGCCTACATTAGCATTTATATATAGCCACACACACGTTACAGCTCATTAAATCATGGCATGCAGACAGTCCATCCAGGGTGAGCCAAAAACATCACTCATCTTAGTTTCAGGGACTCGACTTTCAGAGGGGAGACTGTTGGCTGAATGTAGACGGAAACAAATACACAAAAAAAGCACCACAACATAGCTGGGGCGTTTCTTTTATTCAGTTATTGTCTTTCTAAAAACGTGAAAAAGACATGCAACATTATGTGGCTTATAGTTATTTGAAGGGAAGTTAGTGAAGCTCTTTACGAGCACGTTCTGCCAGTTGTTCAAAAGTTTCCATTTTCCTGTCTAAACCAGCTGCCCATCATGTTGAATATTTTTTTAAGTCCTCTCTTTGTCTTTTCTGGTTTGAGAATCAGTCACAGTATATATTTGTATAATAGAAATGAAAATACACAAATAATACTTTTCAGAGCATATTTTCTGAAAATAAAATATAATTATTAATCTATATGTTTACAGAGTGAACACCTAACCACGTTTTTGAACAGTCTAGTACTTTCATCACCCATATATGTGCTTTTTCTGTTAACCTGTTTGAAATAGCACTGTGTCCAGCAGATGTGTGGCCCTACCTTTTTCCTCTCCAGTCTCTCCTGCTCCTCCTTCTGGAAGTGTTTCTCCCTTTCTAGTTGCTGCTTCTCTGCCTCCTCCCGAGCTTTAGCCTCAGCCTCTTCTTTCTGAAACACAGGCGAGAATCCAACCACAAATTTCAAAGCAGCCAAACKGAGGGGAAAGTGCTTTGGCCAAAATAACACTTTTTTCCCTTCCCTTTTTTTTTACATCATAAGGGTGTGGTCGTTGTCCTTCATCGTTGTTTATGGTCATAAAAGGGATATTATTTATGTCCCTATGAGCCAAATATATCTATTTTTAACTTTCAAAATCTTGTGTAAACAATTCAGTTCAAAAAACATTTTCTTTTACATACAGTATTTCTAAAGGATTTGGTTCAATGTAACATTTGTTAAAGACCATAAGGGGGCAGTAAGGAGTTCAGGCTCATGGCAGACCACAATGTGTGCCCTACAGATAAAATAATCTTAAGTATTGCTTGGCTTTTTCAGACATTTTGTTGTAATAAATAGATATTTGCTCACAATTATGGCTTAACTATTTGTTTTGTTTTACCAACAACTATTAATAAAGGTTGTCCTCTGCTGGTTAGGATGACTGTCTGAAAACCTGTTTTTCTGTTTTACCTGTTTCTGCAGGCGAAGATTCTCCTCCTGCTCAGCTTTAGCTCTCTCCTGAGCCTCTTTCTCCTCCTGCAGTCGCTGCTCCTCATCTCTCCTCCGCTGCTCCTCAGCCATGGCTCTTGCCTCCTCCTCCCTGCGTCGCCTCTCCTCTGCTTCCCTCGCCTTGGCCTCTTCTCTCTGAATCCTTAACCGAAAGAGAGTAATGGAAGTGGTAAGATTTGTTTCGCTTTTTGAAATACATGTAGCAGTTTGGAAATGATTCCACTGATGGGATATTTTAGCTTTGGTTTTTGTTTTTATCTCGCTTGTTAACACTAAAGCACTAGCAACAACCTATTGCACCTGTTTTTAAACTATAAATAAGATCAATCGTCTCATCGTGACAGTTTTAAGGTATATTTGTGAAAGCAAGTTTAGAAAAATATGCATTTTGCATGTGCAAAAGTCTCGTTTACATTTAAAGTGCTGACTTTCGACCCACCTCTCTTTCTCCTCCTGTTCGCGCCGCTCTTGCTCTTCCCTCTCCCGTTGCTCTCGGGCCTGGCGGCGCTTCTCTGCCAGGATGCGAGCAGCCTCCTCTGGGTTGTTGGTGCCCGCCATGGGCTTGGCTGATGGAGAGGGTGCAGGTGACGCAGCTCGGGCAGACAGAGCTGAAGGCACAGGTTCGGGTGGCGAAGAGGCAGCGGAGGCTTTGGCTGCGACCGGCGTGCTGGATGCGTTAGCCGTGGAAGCAGCAGAAGACACTGCAACGRCAGGAACCACGGAAGAACCTACAAAACATTTTTTTATAAATGTATATTAAGTTTTCAACCAACTGCTTTGTTTTCAGTTCAAAAATTAAATGCGCTTTTTGTATCTTCTTTGCTAATTATCCCAAATGGTTATCTTTGCTTGCTGTTTATTGAAATTAACAGATAATTTAGAAGCTCAGACACATTCTGCATTATTTCTATGAATTTGTTTCACCATGCAGGACAATGAGAAATGTTGGTTTAAAAATGGGTTAATAAGCTGGTTCATTGTGCTCCTGCAACTAGTTAAAAATGCTTTATAACTAACTGTTGCCAAATTATGCATAATTATATGTATATATAATGTATTTTAGCACTCACTCTTTCTTTCCTCTGGAGTGGACGGCCTACGAGGTTCCTTCACTTTCTCAAGGGGAGAAGGGGAAGCAGTTCGGGGGTCTAGCCTCGCAGGGGTCCTGGCTCTTTTCGGCCGGGCCCTAGGAGTAGAGAGGCTCCCACGTGTTGATGGGGGCTTGGGGGAGGCAGCAGGGCTTGGAGAGGAAGTTCTGCCCTTCGGTGTGGCTGGAGACGCTGGCCGCTGTCTTGATAAAGGACTGGGGCTAAAGGGGAAAAAATAAATAAATAAATAGGAGGAAAAATATAAAACGGAAATTATGTCCGTAAAGAGGCATTGGTGTTTTCAAAGCAAGCTGACCAGGTTATTGTTAGACTTTAGCAGAAATATTGGTTTTAAATTATCTTGAAAAACAGACTTTAAAGGGATCCATGATTAGTTGTAACATTAGACTTTATTTGATAAACATATTTCAACTAATGTCTACAAAGTAAAATAAAGTCTAAAATAAAGTCTGTAAAAATATTGTAGGCTGTTTAGTTTTTATAATTTTTAAACTAAAAGTTTAAAAATATATTACACGGACGGGGCCATTTTATTTACATGCAAAGCATTCTGGGTAAATGATGATGCGGATGGGTCCTCGGTGCAAGGCTGCTAGTGAGCTGTATCCACCCTGAAGGTTAATCTTGGACAATATCTGACGATCGACTCTTTTAAATGAAACCAGAGAGCGTTGACAGAGAGGAGAAAGTAGAAACGATTCAGTTTACAACTGAAAATAAAGATGGAGGACAACAGAGCTGCTTCATGGAAGAAGAACCTCAGCTTAGCCTTTTAGCTTTAGCGTTAGCCCCAATGCTATCACCATATATATGTATTAGCTCAGAGCTACACATTCTTCTCTCGTCACTGAGGTCCTCCATCCACATGACAGAGAGGGGAACGCAAAAATGACTCCCTGCACCTGAAAATATGGATGGAGGACCTCAGTTTAGCTTGTTGATTTGTCATGCTAGCACCGAGCTAATTCATTTAAGGCAATATAGTGTCAGTGCTAGCGCAAAGGCTAACAGGCTAAGCTGAGGTTCTGATTCCATGAAGCAGCTCTGTTGTCCTCCATCCATATTTTCAGTTACAGGCTGAGTCATTTCTACCTTCTCCTCTCTGTCAACGCTCTCTGGTTTCATTTAAAAGAGTCGATCATCAGATATTGTCCAAGATTAACCTTCAAGGTGGATATAGCTCGCTCACACCGATGACCTATCCACGTCATTTACCCAGAATGCTTTGTGTGTAAATAAAATGGCTCTGTCCATGTTAAAATATATTTTTAAAAATTTATAAAATGAAACAGCCTACAGTATTTTTACAGTCTTTATTTTACAGTTAAAATATATGTTTATCAAATAAAGTCTAACGTTACAACTAATCGGGGATCCCTTTAACATACTGCACTTAAAATATCATTAAAGAAACACTTGTCAGGAGTTACCATCATGTTAATACTGTAATGGCATTTGCCTAAGAAGATTTTACCTTGGATCAGGTCTGTGTCTCATACTGGGCAGGGATTGTCTCTTTTTCAACATCTTCTCTTTATTAATGGCACTTTTCTCCTTCTCATTCTCCTTCTCTTTGTCCTTCTTTTCTTTCTTGGTTTTATCCATCTGAATGAGAAAAAGGAACATTTTAAAATAAAATAATATTCAGTGAAGTTAGAGTAGCTTGTTTATGGAAGGCAAAGACACAGAAAGAACAGATGTTCTGGTTGCAGAACATGGTGTAAGACGTCGGCTGGGTTTTTAGCATACGAGTTCTGGGAAACGTACAGGTGTGGAGCTCCTCCTGTGTTGCCGCTGAGTGATGTCCGGTGTGCTGGAGGTCACCCTCCAGTGGTCAGAACAGCGGCGGTGGGGTTGATGGGCACACAGGGTGAGGGGGCTGGCTGAAGCCGATCGAGGGCAGAGATGAGAGTCTGTGAATGAGATTCAAACATTCAAGCTTCTAAGCATTTGGATTTCTAAATGGTCGAATATCGTCAACTTACGACTATCTTTGCCGTTGCTGAGGACGCTGGCAGCGCTGCGGCTCCGGGCGAGAAATGACAGCGTGGGCGTCATCAGCCGGTCCACTATGCTGCTTTCCCATGGACTCAGGGCAAGACTGCGGGCTGCAGGTAGGAGAAAACATCAGATTCTCTCTGTGTCACCCAACACAACAGAGCACTGAAGGTAAAGTAAAAGTCCCAGGAAGATACGAACAATTAAATGAGAAGTCAGAAGAAAAATAATTAATGAAATCTCTATAAACTTGACCCTTTATTAAAAACACAGATAACTAATTTTACTAAAACTACTCAACATTCCTCATTTTACCCAACGAGCTGGGTTTCACATTAATTGGTCTCATCTAGGATGATGAATGAAATAAAGAGGGGCATAATTATGTGGAGAAGCTAAGAGTACAGGTCCCATTATCCAGTTGTAATAAAGTAGAAAGAGAAATATAAGTGTATTTCAGGAAAACAGGAACAGAATCTCCTCTGGGAAGTTTTAGAGTTTAACCACAAACAACCTGAATTTCAGTTTTCCTGGAAAGTTATTCCTCTTATGCATGTGTGAACCATGTACCATGGTTTTTGTTGTGTTTTTAAAAAGTATTTACATCTAAAACTTAAAAAATGTGTTGTCGATTCAAAAAAACATGTCATAAATTTAAAAAACAAACAAACATTCTTTAGATCATCAATAAAACAAACATTTAGGACATCCAAATCTAAAAAAAACAAAAAAACACAAGGAATGAAATGGCTACCACCACAACCAAAGAACAATAAAAAGAAACCAGGAATACACCCATAAAAATGTGTGCATGCAGGGACAAAACCCCAACTCAAAGTCTGGAGAGAATTAAAAACCAAAACTTGAAGATATGAAAGATGGAAAGGGGACATCTGTCAACCACCAAACTCAGGAGAGGGATTGAACTCAGACAGGGGAAAACAAAACAATGATGGGTGGGGCTCGGCGGTGCTGGCAGCTGCTGAACAATGGACACGTTTAAACAGGAGCGGGGCGGTCCACATGTCTTACTTCTGCTGGGGGAGTTCCAGAGTGTGGCGGAGGACTTGGAGAGTCGCTTGTTTATGACAGAGTCCACGTGTTTGGGCAGGTTGACCGCTGAAACTGAGCATCTGCCTAAAGAGCCAAGAGAGCGCCACACAGGTGTTCACATACAGTAGATCACATGGTTGAGAGGAAGAATGACTGAGGCGTCATGAGTTATGCTGAGATGATGAGTTACAGGTAGGTGGTTCCTATTAGAAGCAGCTACAATAAGAATAATTTGAACGAGCTCTAATCAAGACTAATTTGTGAGCGGTTTTAAAAAATGCAGTTCAAAGACTGTTGGATGGAAGTTACAAAACCAAAATTATACTTTTCATTTTAAGGGTACAGCCCAAACTTTTAAAAAATGTGAAACTCACTGCTTCACGTGACAAAGATTGGTACAGAAGTTTAAAAACACAAGACAGTTCTCACTCATGTCACGTGCCAGATTGTTTCAATCATTCCACAAAACGTACCATCTGTGACAGACAATACTTGCTTTAGGCTTTCACATTTTAGCACTTCATAACTAACATGCAAAGAAATATAAACACAAATAGACAGGAATCCCTATAAAATGTATATTTGAACTCAAATTAATGTAACAACCAAAAAAAAGGCAAATTACAAAAGACAACTTACAAAATGCTTGTTGGAAAGGCGTAATACCTGCATCTATTCAAGCTAAACATCTCAATACATTCAAATCGACTCATGTTCTTTTCTAAACTGGAATGCTGTAGGAATATACACCTAGTAATGAATCAAACAAAGCATAAAATTAAACATTTTAGTACAAAAAACAAGAAAGACCAACATAAAAGCATTTTCTTTTAAATACAATCTTAAAGTTCTGTATGTGAGAGAGCAGGCTGCTGAAGAAGAGTCAATAATTCTCCCAGCATGGAGCAGAGATAACATGATTGTAGCTCAGATTAGAACAGATTTAAAGCTAACACTGGGAAGGAACTGCCAACCTGACAAAAGTCTCCATCAGACTGCACCGTCCGCTAAAACAAAATATTATAAATCCAATAACTAGCATTACACAGGCATTTCTGATCAATCAGCTCTTAAGACGTGAGTATTTTTATTTAAAGAAGCATTACAAACAGATCTATTTTGTTCTCAGTCGATGATATGCTGCTTACTCAAACTACAGCATTAAAATCAGCTAAAATAAATTTAATGTTGTCAATGCAGTTTAGCCATGAGGGGCTAAAAACCCCTCGAAGAAACTAGTTTTATAAACAGGGTTGCATGTAAGMATCACAAACTGAGCAACCTGCACTTGCACTGGCATTTGTTTAGGTGCTGGAATTAACAAATGGAAAATGGAATTTAAATGACAGTGTGATCGTTATTCATGTGATTCAAGAAGCACAAGTATCAAAGATTTGCTCTGCATTTGAAAGAACTTATGCTTGAAGTTTCTCATGGTTGGATGTTATTTCTAGCCTATGAAACCAGTCTTTTAAATAAGAAAAGCATTGGAGGTGATGGGGGTATTATGTATTTTCCAGGTACATACATCAGTTCTATACCACAATCAAGTAATTGTGTTACCTTTAGTTGTAATGAAACTGTTGTATATATTAAAATAAATTTAACTCTGCATCATAGCCTATCTAAACACCTTGAAACTGGCCTCTGTCTTTTTAAGAATCTCCTACAGTTTCTGACACTCCCACTTCAGCACGTCTTCACAACAATGTTTCGAAGGAGGGGTGCTTTGTGGGGCGGGAGCTCAGCTGCAGACTGAGCTCCAGGGAGGAGCTTAGTACAAATAGGCGGTGCTTTGTAGCAGTTAGAGTTCAGGCAGCTCCACATGGCKACCACAGGAGATTCAAGGATCTCTCAAACATGCATGAATGAGTCAAAACAACACTCTGGGTATGTTTTTGATGAGGGAATGTTATTATAACATGAGATCAATTTTGCATAATATCCCCCCTTTAAAATATTCAACATGTTGTGAAAAGAAAAACAATGGAGGACATCTACATCACAGAGAAACTGATCACAAAATAATTTCTCTCATCGGCTGAAGACGGTCACAAGAAATCAGCAGAGATTAAAAACTTTACTAAAAGGGCCTGTGGTGTAGCCATCTCATGATCAGAAATTTGCAGGTTTGATTCCCTACCAGGCTCATCTGTTACCGTGTCCTTACTCAAGACAACTAATCTCTAACTACTCCCAAGGCAGCTTAAATATCTGCTCTACTTGTGTATATCTCACATGTGCAATGGGTCAAATGCAGAGATGACAACATACTTCAAACTTCAACAAACAACTTCAGTGAAGAAGTTCTCATCAGGTTGTTCAGTTCTACAAAGCTGTTAGTTTAGATGTCTGTCACTCACTCTCTTTCTGGCTGGAGTTGTGGTGTAGTGCCACTGATGATCTCTGCTGGCGAATCTCTGCCCACGTCTTTTTTGTTGATCTGTGTATGGCTGCCTCATAGCGTTCCTGTGAAGCATATACAAAAATGTAATATCTTTAATTATTTCTAAAGTGATCCATATGCAGGGATAACCGAGAAAGTCCTTCTGCTGACGGACTATCTGATTAATTTTAAAACTTTGATCACATTGCATTCTCATCCAAACATACTTTGTTCTTCTCCAGTTTTTCTTTCTGTCTGTCCTCCAAAGCTGCTCGTCGTTTTTCTGCCTTGATCCGCTGCTCCTCCAGTTTCCTGCGGCGTTCTTCCAGCTGCTGCTCCCTCAGCTGCCGGGCCTTCTCCTCCTTCTCCAGCCACTGGGTCTTTTTAGCAGCTGACAAGACAAAGTGCATGTTTAGAAGAGTGCAACTTTTCAAATCAGCATTGGTCAGTGGAGACTTCCTGTTCTTCTCACATGTGTCCTCTCAGAAAACAAAAAAGTATTTTTGTCCTATGCAGGGGTCGTAATTTTTATTTCAGATGCTGGGAAATAATCTTTAAGTCACTAAAATAAAGTGACAGGTTGGAGGGTTTTTCCAAGTATTTGAAGACCAAAGAGAATGTGAAATTTCTTCTCTATTGTTCATTACATCCTGCCTTACTCCCCTTTAGAAAAAGGACAAAATCTTTTAAGATCACTACATTTTTCCACAGAATGCCTTAACAGCAAATTTCACATGCACTGTACTTTCAGCTCATCATTATTATAGTCATAATCACTTGAATCTTTAATAACGCTACACTTTGATATGGAAATCCTTTTAGTCTCCGGTTATTTACAAGTGCTACAAAGAAGGCTTTTGCAGCTGCTGGTGCACACAGCTCGCTTTTTTTTTTCCTAGACCAAAATCTGCTGCAACGACATAAAGCTTCGTCCTCCACAGCATCCGGTGCAACAAAATCAACTGGTTGTGTGTGTTTAGTTTTTTTTTTTATCACTGTGATGGATAACTGCAGAGGTGCTGGAGGCTGGCACAGTTAAAATTTATCAGGAGGCTCACGGTTTGGCTTTCATCTGAGAATGGAACAGAAAGCTGAGTTATACTGAGGCTGTGCTCGCCAGCAGCCTGCTGCAAAGAAAACGACTGCTGCAGTGCGGATTTCAGTTTGAGAAACACCTCGGCTCTACTGTCCTTTTATACCAAGTTTTAGAGAATAAAGCTCTAGGTGAACTACAGTGCTGAAAATGGGGTTACTTGGTTGAGCTTCATTTCTAATCAGAACCGATGTCCAAATATGCAAAATGCTGGCTGGATCATTTAAAATGCATTCATAACTCTGACCTAACAGTGATTTGTGTGGACACGTTTTACTCACACTTACTACAATGAAGCCATTAAAAAGTCATAACTATAGAGAGTGGCTCTAACTGGAACACATGAAACATTTACAGCTACTCACTAATGACATACAACATGAGTTTCCAGTCAGTGTTTTTGATGTGATTTAAACTATATTTAATAAACATAAATATGTAGAAATACTCTGCAGCTAGAAATACAACTGTTTGGTACAAGCAGCATCTGTTTTTAAGCTGATGTAAATACAGGCTTTGGCTGCAGGTTTTCTTTCATCCCAGTCTGAATATTAGATAAAAACCCCCGCCATCTGGCGTAACCCAGTGATCGCCCAATTACACTGATCTGTGGTATCAGCTGTGTCAAACAGATCCTACAGCGTTCAGACACCCAGCTGGATTAGACAACAAATACGGCATTACTGCGAGCAAAGCGACGGGTCGTTAGAAAGAGATCTACACTGTGAAAATATCATGATTATGGATTTGTTGCTTTTCAAAAATAACAAAACTGAAATGTTAGAGTTAGGTTGCTTGCAGTATTTGTTATATTTTTCTTTTTTGACTCTAGCATTTTAACTTAGCAACAATAACATGTTTTGCTATAGCTTTATAGCTGAGCTAAATATGACTGCAAACATCTCCAAAACCTTCAATTTCTCAAGTAAGATTGTAATCAGTGGGTTTGAGGTGCGTGCTTCTAACGTGTTATCTTTGGATACAAAATCTAAAGCCTTGGGGTTTCAAAAGCGAAACAGGAAAATAAAAGGTCAGACTGAGGTCAGATTAAAGACAAAGTTTTATACAGATCTCACTTCTACAGATGTGTTAAATGATGAATTTGTGGCTGCATGATTGCTTAAACACTGATGATGATGATCAGAGATGAAAAAAAATTATGGAATTAGTTGAATTTGACATAAACGATAGACTGAAGACAGCCACATTAAAAGGAAAAGAATTTAAAAAGGACACTGTGAGATTAAAAGTGAATGAAATAATCTTAGGTCTGGGCAAAATCACCAAAACTCTTTGTGGTGGAAGTGGCACCATATGCTTTGATAAAACATTTTGTACTAACCTTGGATTTTAAGTGCTGTCCTTTTATTGCCTTCATCTTTCTAAAAAGACACAGTGTGAAGGAACAAAGTCCTTTTTTGGCCATCTTTCTCCTAATTTGAGTAATATTGATGAAGTACTTGGTGTGTTGCCCAGCACCAGTTCATACACTAAACCTCATTAATCAGAGATGTCCAATATAAACTTGAATGATCAAAAAAAAAAAAAAAGGACCATCACCACCACCACCACATAAACATCGGTGAGTGGCCTACCTTGCAACTTGCTGAGCTCTTCTGCAGAAGGAAAGGATGAGAGAAGACAGAGGTAACTGTCAATCATGCAAAGCAGTGCAGAGCCAGCACAGAGCTGGGCGATTATGTGGCAGCCGTGTGTTTAAACAAAATTATAAACTTCAAAGAAAAGCTAAATCTGCTTTTATTTTTAATTAAACAGTGCATCTTTAAAGGTATTATACATTCAAAAAGGATTAGAGCACTTCAACATCTTAATGCTGTTGCATAAAACAGAAGTTATACATGCAGTCTTCATGCAGAAAACTTTCCCTCCACTTTTGCTGATTTCAGTTAGAAAACTATTTTCTTTTGGTATTTGTGAAATATGCATGCTTTTTGCAGACAACAGCTGACCAATTTGGGAAAAAAGCTGTTAGTATTGCCTTCTCCCACCCCAACACCAGGGGGTGCTCTTTTCCTGTGTAAAAAAAAAAACATCCCTGCCCACTCCTTGTTTACACTCACCCAGATATTTAGCCTTCTCCTCCCGGCGTTCCTTTGCAAGCTTCTGCCTCTCCTCTGACTTTGTGTTGTCTGAGAAAAGAACGACACAAAGAACAAAAAAGGTGGAGCGTGAAGGAGAAGTAGAAACATGTATTTGATCCAGTCAACAGGAAATCAATTTCAGTCACAGTACAAGTTAAAAACAAATACGGGGCGTTTCCTTTTTTGGTAAAGAATACATTTGGGACAAATTTTCAACAACTGTTTAATTTCCTGATCTAATATTCAATTAAAACTTTCAAGTCAAAAACACTGTAGCAGGAACTGATACTTAACAACTTCTTGTGTTTTATAGGCAATATTTAAACTGTCTTGCTAGCATTCAGTTTTCCATAAATAAATACACTTTCAAATTTCCTTAACTGAGGCTATAATAATTCATGTGTAACCTAATAAACACAAATGACTAAACGACTCCCTCTAAAAAGTGCTTTAAACTTTAAATGCCTCCACAATAAATTGCATGCAACAAAACTGTCAGTAAATTGGTAATAATCCAAAACTCAATGTTCAGTCTAGATTAAAAGAAACAAACATAATCCACATGCAAGCCCATCCCTGCACACCAAAGCTCCTACGCCACCTTGATGTGAGCGTACGTTCGACTTGAACATGTGATGCCTGAAGGAAAACACACACTGTGAGATCTCCGATGCACACACACACAAACACACACAGTGTTCCTTCCAATACCTCAGAAGCAGCACTCAGTAAGAGACTGCAGAAAGAAAAAAGCAGCTGAAGGCACTCGTGTAGCAAGTGTTCAAATTGCATCCAAACATGGGAGCAACTGTGTCTTCTGAGGAAAAATTCCTGCCACTTTAATTAGCCACAGACATGTTTTGGGTTTTATTTTTTTGGCCTGATGAAATTCTTGTGAAAAATGCAACTGGGTGAGAAAAACATTGGCAGGTTTAGTCATAGCTGAGAAGAAAGAATAAAGTTTGTTGATCTTTTCAGTTTAATTTAGGCAGAAATACCAAAAAGAAAAGGAAATCCAGTGTATTTACATAATATTTGCATTATGCGTCATTTATTTGAGACAAACAAGAAATAAAAATGCCTTTGGTGCCAAACAACAAACCAATTAATTTACTAAACTAACTTTATAATTCAAAAATATATCTTAAAATAAAGGCATGCATCATTGGTGATTTAATGCAGCAAAGGCAGATCTTTTCCAACTGTTGCAACAGAAATTACTTTATCGGTTTTAAATAGCCCTTTCTGTATCTAAAAAAAATCCCTTATAAAATTGTATCCACTACATGCAACATTTTATTGTGCAGTATTACACAAATAACTTGGTCCAACTTGGAAGCTGTGACACATTCTGAAGTCTTGATCTCTTGAGTCTTTATGCTCCATCGTCCTCCTCTCAGACCAGATGTTCCGACATCAAACACGTTGGAATTCATCGAACAGTGAGAGGCATGAATCTTAAATATAAAAACAATCTGCCATGCAATCTCCATTTATAGACCCCCCCCCCACGCCGACCCACTTTGATATTTATAGGAAGATGGGAAGGTGAAGTGTGATGAGYTGCTGTTTACAGTTCGCCACCACATTAAACCATACATAACATCACATGCACAAAGCTTCAGGGACAAAAAGGAACCGAGCGCAGCAACTGTGCTCCAGATTGTGCACACATGCCCTTCGCATACTGTCAGCTCAGGTTTTTTGTTTGCATCTAAATTAAAAGCTACAAAGGAGTAATGTGCAGGCCCAAACAAGAAATGCAGACCTATTTTTTATTCCATTTGTATTAAAATAGGCTCAACATTAACTGTGTCTTTACTAGGGGTGTAAGAAAATATTGATACACTGAAATATCGCGATATTTCATTTCCCGATACTGTATCGATATTCTAAAGCCCTGTATCGATTTTTAATTAAGGTTTAAAATGTCAACCTTCTTGCCAACTGTTCATTTTTATGTTGTAGTTCAGCCTCTGMCCAYTAGTTGGYAGCAGTGAGCCAGMCATTTGGCTCCTCTACCTCTTGAGCGCCAGAGAGTAAGGGTAGCATTAGCATTGTAAGTAAACATTAGCTTTTCTTTTTTCTCAGTAAGAGGTTTTTATTTAATAGAATTTTTGGACAAAAAAATCGCAATATATCGCAATATATCGCCTTGCTTACAGTATCGCAATATATCGGGATATATCGTATCGTGACCTCTCTGTTATGATATGTATCGTATCGCCAAATTCTTGCCAATACATAGCCCTAGTCTTTACGGGAAAATGTTTGGGCTGCTAGAAAATTATACTAAGTAGACAAACTAGCAGAACCACAAGCCTCATTGTTTTATTCCACCAACCAGTGGGTCAAGCAGAGTATTTTTATCTTCAAAGCGCTGTGCATGGTGCAAACCCCAAAAGTAATGAGCATGGAACAACTTTGTAGAACCTGACATACAAAAACTAACAGTGGGTTATTTATTTATTTGTTTATTTTCTATTCTGGTGACTACAAAMAAAAAACTAAGTCAGACTTGTTAAATAAATGAGTCTGCGTTTACTGATGTGGAAACTACATAAAGCCTCCAAACTTGGGATGCAGACAAAGTTGTTGAGGTTGAAGAGAATAACGACTGCAGCCCTGATGAATGGATTAATTGGCAATAAGAAGGAAAAGATTAAAGAAGCTTACACTCCAAAAACCTCAAAACATGTTCCAAAGGGTTTGTAATTGCATTAGCCAGAGATTAAAATGTGTTCAAGTTGTGCTCTTATGAAAACAACTGCGGTGCAGCTGCCAGGCTGCCCTCTTGGCATCAGTCGCTAAAACAGGATTCCTGTTCTGGTTCTCTGTGCCCACCTCTCATTAGGGAGCAGCACAAAGTGGTGATCAGCGTGAACTACTTACTTCCCAACAAAGCGTGTTTGTTCACATCATCAAGGGGTTTCCTTCAGTAACTTGATTTAAAACGTTTAGCTGCAAAGTTCTCACATGACATAACGTGTTTAACGTTTGTTCCACCACTTCAAAAAATAAATAAATAAAAAAACTGCAGGTGCGTTATTGGTTTCTGCCTCTTGTCTGAAAGCATGTGGTCACTGTTCCTCTGAGAGCTGCCCTGACTTCAGCGCAGAAATACCTGCAACTTAATATTAGCCTCAAGTGGGGCCAATGTCAGCTTCCTGCACACGTTTTAGCCTAAAAGATGCCAGAAACGCTTCAAAACATAGAGCCATTTTTGTGTTTACCTCTTTTCGACCTGGGTGATACCGGTGAGCCAGGTGATCGAGAGGTGATGTTGGGTTTGGCGGGCGTGTTCAGATTCCGGTCTGTTTCTTTTTTAGCCGGCGACTCCATCCTCTGAGTGTTGTCGGCTTTCAAGGGGCTGCTTTCCCCCTCTGGGTCGGGCCTTGTAAGGTTTGTTTTTACTGCCAAACAGGGAGCTGGTCGAAGAGACAGACACAGAACAAAAAAAAATTGATTTAAAAAAAAAGGCAGGTGAGKACAGACAACACAAGAAACAGAACTCAACTTGTTTCTCTTCATTCCATTTGCTGCCGATTCCATAAAACAAATCCCCGAGGGTGACGTCAGCCACCTTTAGTGTGGGTGGAGCTGACGACTCAGAAAGCTTTGCTTGAGAAACTCAATTTAAACTTTTTAATAAAGTAAAATTAACTGAATAAAGAGAATCAGAGTAATGGTGGCAAACAGCTCAACAGATAAAAAGTGGAACATTTTCTAAATCAAGATAAGCGTGGCCTGTTGTTTGGGACCGCAGCTGTTTTATGGTGCACATTTGGCAAAGTGGTCAACTTACTCAAACATTAGTTTGTCCCAGTTCTCACGTCCAAATAAAGACCATCATAGAAAAGACACTTAGCTTTGTCCACCCAGTTTTGAAGGGCCTGCACACCACTGTGAACCCATGTGGCACATTTACTTCTGCATAGTCTGAGAGTAAACACTGTGGCAACRTGCTCTAAATTATTCAGTCCTTGGCTTAAACAACTCAGACAGTAGGGGGTTGTCACAAGAGTACAGTGAACTCACTAAAGATTTACTCTGCAAACGCTGCTCTGTTCATCAGTTTGTATAGAAAAGCTCAAATGAGGAGCAAGACCAATTCGGATTAGCTTTTTTCTGTTTTTAACTACTATGTGTCTGGACGGGGCATGTTTTATAAGTAAAGTAGGCTGCGTCACGTGCTTTTGTGTAAAATGGATTTTTAGTAGCATTAATCAGGATAAAGTTCTGTGTGAATATCTGTTGAACAAATAAAACAAGGTCATCTTTAGCTAATCAAGTGTTTAATATCAATCTACAAGGCATCACGCCTCATGGCACACATGGTCGGGTTGAATCATCAGTATGGGAAGCAGAGGCTGCTGCAGCTGCTCAGGGACTGAACTAGACAAATCCTGATGATTAGACTGTCTACGATTAGTCTATAAAGGATTCCAGGTGGGAGAGGAGATGATGTGTTTTCATTGTCAAAGTTTGCCACTATTAAATAAGCATTCCCAGGCAGAGAGGGGCCATTGTTGTGGTCTCTGCATGGCAACGGGACAGCAGCCAAAACAYTGCAATGACAGCGAGAAGACAGAGGAAACAGAGGAGGGGTAGAGGGTGAGATGAACTGCAAGCAGAGGATGAACACTGGGATCAGTTCGGTGTAATTCTCTGACATAAAGCAACTGTGTGTGGCAAAAAATCTGAAAGCAATGAACCAAATACAAAATAAAAAAAGGATAAAGTGACCTGCCAMAGTAACTGTTCCTCTCTTTTCTGCTTTAATCAGAGAACTCTATGTGCTAAAAGCCACATTCCTGAAACCCAAGTGACACAACCCAGAGCTGCCGGTATTACCCCACTGTGGCATCTCAGGTGATGAAGCACACAGTCATTCCCTCACAGATCCCTGAGGGCAAATACAACATACAGGACACAAAGTGCAGCTGTGACAAACGTACTACGTTGCTTTGTATTCTGTGAGCACTTTCCCATACGCCTGGGAACTAGAGCCACAAAGAAGCTACTGGGGGGGGGACAGTTACTATGAGCTATATTGGAAATGATGGAGAGCGCAAGGAGATAAACTGTCTCAAGCATGTAGGTGGCACCGWCAATGAATACCAATGAAATCTGAAGCTCTCTGGGGGTAAATGGGAGCTGAGGGAGGGCTGCTGCTGCTGCGTAGCTCAGAACTGAAACAAGGCCTGATTGATGCCGAGTTCAGTCTGGGCAGCCAGATAACTGGGAGAAGAGAGTATAACGGCAGGCAGTTCAGATACTGTGAGTCAAAGTTATACAATACAAATAAAAGCTTCTGTTAAAGCTGGGAATAWAATATTTTTTGGTATCAAGGTTTTACATTTCTGATTGTAAACTGTAGTAAATATTAACTGATCAAAATAGTTGGTGAATTATTTCAATTTATTTATTGCAGAAAGAATCTTCAAATCCTGAATTTCTTTAAAAAATTAATGAAATTGACAAAACCTTCTTCTTTTACTCAAGAAAAATCTTCAGCGTTTATCGTAACTCTTGGTCCCTTTAATTAAATAACAGAAACAATTAACTGTTCTGTTTCCATTGTGGTCTATTCACATAACATTTTAAYCAATCATGAAAAACAACTTTCCAACTTTTACAAAAATAAACTTACAGCAAATAACAACAACAGACCACAGTAATTACTTTGTGTCACCCTGAACACTTTATTTTTAATCGAACTATATTTTCTACTAGGATTGCACAATAAATCACAAATTTATTGTCATCGCAATAACAACCTGTGCAATCATAGGCAGATGTCAAAAACCATGTAAACTACAATAAATAATTGGCCGAAATGTTTGAATTAATGTTTTTGGTCAGCATCAGTCTGATAAACCAAACAGACCTGAGATGCCACATCAAATCATAACCACTGGTCAGTGGAGAAAATGTAGGTCCCTGATATTGTGCAGTCCTATTAGTAATTTATTAGGCAATGACAGCTTTATGCATTTTATTTTCAATTCTTTCTTTAGACTGGGGCTGTTCCAAAAAATCTTCCATCAGCACCAGGAAATTACCTATTTACACACGTTTTTTTAAAGTTAGTAGCCTTTTTTTATTTAGTGACCTTTGTTCATCACTAGCAAACATGACTACAAGTGTATTTGCAAAACTGTACACATGGTGACCCTTAAAGCAAACAAGAATAGAACACACACACATGCAATACTTCAACAAGAATGCTTAAATATTATTTACAGATTTACTGAATGCAGAAATAAAATATCTGAATCTGTCACTAAMCCAACTCTGTAATCTGTAAGGTCAAAGTTCTGGCTGTTCTAAGACACCACCTGACCGGTGTATTTATGTATAATAAAAATTCCAGAAATATCAATCTATTTTTGTTCTTTATTTAACAGCAAAGAGACATAAAAAATAAAAAAAAAGAGATGTTTGAATCACTTCTGCAACTTCTCGCCAAACTCACTCTCAAGCTTCCCGAGGACTATAGCCAAAAAGCATTAGTCCACTCTCCTGACATCAATTATATTATTTATATCCATAAATCGATGCACGCCCACTTCCTCCAAGATGCAGGAGACAACAGCCTGAACGCAGAAAAACACTTCAAGCTCATTATTGAAAAACTACAAGAAAAAGGACGAAGGCCAAACATTTGGTCAGCCTCTCAGCAGTTTGATAATCCTGCAGTTTAAGGTTTTACAACATGCTACCAACCACACGGTAGACATTTTCACAAAACTATATTTTATATCAGTTTCTTAACACAGAAAATCCAAAAGTCTCAAATCAACTTTAATTTTAATCTAATAGCAGACTATAGCTTTTCTGTTTAACTTAATTACACCAAACTACTGTGACAACAAATAGACTAAAAAAAWCAGGTGAGAGCAATTTTCAGGTATCTTACTAGACATTGAACACCATCAYCCTTCACAGTAGAGCCTCTCCAGCTGCAGGTGTCAAGCAAAAGGGACATGCAGATAAAAATAATTTAAATGTAATAGTGGTATAGTGGAATGTAATATCTATACAAGTCAGCCAAAACTGTAAAAATAATAACCTGCAGTGGTGGGTGGATGCATGCATGTCTGAGCACAGTGTGGGAGCAGAATGGCAGGTTGAAAATCAGCAGGTAATTAGCACGACTCTGAACCATTTCTTACTTATGGACAAAACAAAGAAAAAAAACTGTGTAGCCAAAAAGGTAGATTATTCCCCTTTTATTTYCTAACAAATTTGAATTACAAAATAATAAAATCTAGTCCTTTACAGTTGGTTGACACTGCGGTTAAATGGGCCAAGTTAAAACTGGGACAGCTGGTAATACTGCCACACAAAATGTGGTTTAGCAAAAAAATCCAATTTCACAGCATATTATTTTATTCAAGCAGATTTAAAAATATCCACACAGTGAAGCCTGATTTTTCCTTTTTTCATGTAGAATCCCCAAACCAACTATTACTTCTATAACTGCAGCAATAAAAGCCCTTCCAGTTTTATTATTTCTATCCAGTTTAATTATTTCTACAACAAATGTGGTATGAACATTTTTGCCCAACAAATAAGCGTTCAATTCTGAAAATTCAATGAACCAAGAAATGGTATGTACTTAGAGCAGCATGCAGGGTATTACTGAAAACTTCTTGCACAACTAAACCCAACAATAGCTACAAAAAATGTGTCAGTGAAACACTGAGAAGGTCAAATCACTGCCACAGAAAGAGTTTTTACCAGTCAGAGCATCCAAGAACAATATCTTCTTGTTTTGGGCTTAAATAATTAGAGAGGAATGGCTGTAAATAATGCACCTTTATAAAGCACAGAGTAACTCAAAATGTATGTTTTAATGGTAAGGCTACCATCTAGTATCAACAGTGGCAAAACAGCTTGTTGATAAATTTATGAGAACTTGTAAAATTCAGTGAAACTGAATTATTTTTGCAYAATATCTCAGCACCTTAATAAAATGGGACTCACAAAATTACAAAATCAAGATTTATGTCACATTTTTAGAACATTTAATTATTTGCTACTTATAAATTAAAGTATGTGTAGCGGTAAAGATAAACTTTAAAATTATCCAAGCCCTTTAAAAAAAACTACAGTTTTTCAACTGATACATATTCCAGAACATCCAGAGTTCTGCTCGTCTTTCCTGAATACAGGACAGAGTATAAATATAGGGCAAGACATGTAATATTTATAAAAACTGCAGCTTCACTCTGTTCCAGCTGAACCTCCACTAAAAGATTAGAAAAGAAAGCAAGAAAAGAAGCAACTGCAAAGGCAGAATATGAATTAAATTAACTAAAGGCTTTTAATACCACAATAAAGAAACATTGACCAAATTGCAATTAATTTATGCTTAAAAATTTTGATAAGCAATGTAAATATTGCACAATAACAAGTAAAT